GTACAGTTTTTACTGTGGCTTGGGCTGACGCTAATTTTGAGTGCTGAAAGTTGAACTGACACGAACATATATTTAACCAGGATCGATAAATTTATGTGACTGATAATGCAAGTTTATTCAAGTATGACTGCGCATGTGTTATTTATTTCACGTAAAAATATCATTTACTGATTTGTTTACGGTCAAGTAAATATATTCACTTCCTTTCATAAATACTTATTAAATCAGAAATACTAGATTGTTTGTAGACAGAAAACTGATAATATAAGGAAAATAAATGAATTCTTCAATGATTGCATGAAGTCATTTGTCTTTACTTTATTAGAATCACAGAATCAAATTTATTTTTCCTCAGCCTCTCAGAAATTAATCAATCAATCAATAAATAATATTAATAACACTTATTTAACATCATCAAAAGAATGTAAATAAAATTGACCCCCTACTAAATTTGCAATTCTTTGCTTGCTGACGATATTTTATCACTTCTTTCTACTTCTGGGAATTCCAGTACTAGGCCTACCTAGGCCCACGCCTACTACGATACTCTGCATACATCGAATGGTTTTACCAAAATAAAATATTGAAAGAAACAACATCTCCCTTCGAATGTGAACCAATTAGGCCTACAGTAACCGCCATCATTTTTTTAATAATATTGCCGTTTTGGCAATACTCTACAAGTAAAAACTCACAACCTCCTTATATCATTAAGGTAAGAATCACTAAAGTAAGAAAAACGAACGACACAGGATAACCGCCTACGGATTGAAGTTGAACAAAGCCAGGACAACTCAATGCAAGGAGGCGTGCTGAACGTGGTGAGGTGATGAAAAAAACAAATCACTTGTTACTTACCAATGCTCGATTTACTGCCTTTTTATCACACGACTTTCCATCATGAATGTGAATGGAAAAGTTTCCTGAATCTGGACTACCTTGTACGTAAGACGTATCCATCTTTAAATTATATAAATAGATAAAAATATGTTAAAATATTGAAACGATGCTTAGCCTTCCGCCACCACACTACGATACTACTATTAGCGTGTTGTCTGTTGTGGCGCGGTATACGGACGGTTTTATGAATGAAAAAGGCGCAATGTGATTACGTCACAAGTTTGCTGGCTGGTAGGCCAATGGGATGACTCCAAAACAACACACCTTCCTCCCGAATGCCCCCAGAACGCGCCAATTTCAAAGAACATACATAAAGCTGGCAGATGTACAAATCCGCAAGACGCTTCCGGGTATACTGTAGTCCATATTCGCGCGAAATTTGCTTACAGATTTGATATTGATTTTTTTTTTGTTTGACCATCAAAATGGAAAAATCAAGTAGACTGGGCCCCAATTATGTAATCTACAGAAGGAAAAGAAAAATGTTATTAGATTAAATAAAGATTTTATAAATCCTGCTACGCTTTCACTGCAGTAAGTAGTTACATGATGTAGGCCTAACAGTATGTGTATTTGATGGTAATGCAGTACAGTAGGCCTACAGTACTGTATTTTGAATGCACCACTTATAAACAATGTAATTATCCAAGTTATATGGTAGTAGTGTGGAAATCATATGTAAATCCAAAAAATTATGTACATGTTACGTACAATTTTTATAGAATTTTAATACAGTGATAATCTTTTTGTGGTGTTTCATATTCAATTTGTAACTGCCGGCCAAGGATATACCTAGGGCTACGCTTTTTTATACTGAAATAAATAAACAAATGTATTTTGCTTTGGGTACTGTAACTACTTTGGTGGACCCTAACATAATATATTTTTGTATATGGAAGAAGCAATAAAAGTCATTGATATGCAAGCACCTAAGAGGTATTGGGTCAGGGGGGACAAAGGTAATAATTTTCCCGGTTAGTAATTTATCATACCCCCCCCCCCCCTTCAAATTTTTTTTTTGAGTTTAGGGCTTATTTATATATGGCCACACACGTTTTTTTTAAACTGAATATAAGCATTTTCATTGCTTTATATATTATAAACATATTCTTTTACCATCATTACACATTGAGGCCCTTCTTTTAGGTAAAAGACCTATCCTAAACTTTCCTTCTTGTGTTTGGGACTATTATGTGTTTAAATAACTTAGAAGGCTAACCCTAAAAACACCAAAAAACGCGCAAAAAATGTTTTGTGTTTGTAATTTTAATTTCGTCGGAATTGATCAAACCTCCCTAAAATGTGCAATTTTTAGAGGAAATTGGCCTGCTCCAAAAATTTGAGATTTTTAGGCATTTTCTGGGGGTGAAAAGGGAATCTTCAAGGGGTGGGGAAAGATTTTCCACAGATGGATATTTTTCCTTGTCCCTCGGTGGTTACGCCACAGTGGAGAATATCTGGCGGAGCTATGGACATTTTTTGAAGTGGAGAAGGGGTTGCAGGGTGTTGTGAGTCTGGTCATTATGATATCTTCCTTTTTATTCTTGTCTTTATTTTTCTCTTCTCTTTTTCTTTTTCTTTTTCCATTTTCCATTTTATAACTACTTTGTGCATGTAGGCCTACATTATTATAAGTGAAAAGTCATAAAAATTAAAAAATATATATAGCATACTTAGACCCACATAAAAACAACCACCAGATGTAAAAATATGCTATAAACTATAATACTATATAAACATTACATTAGGTATTTTTTTATAATTTCGAAATGTTTGATGAATATAAAATCAAGCATGACAGTACGATGCAGTATGTATAGTCTGTGCCACTATTACATAACAAGGAGAAAAACCACAATTCGTCAGGGAGAAATAAATTATGTACTGTATTTTCTACATATTAATAGATAAATTGTCAAACCTTTAGGGGCAGTGCACCCTGGAACACCTTCGATATATTTTGAGCAACTCTCAACTACGCCCACTTTGCTCCGTCCCGTTGGAACATCTGCAGTGACGCACCCAAGAATTCATAATAGGTTGAGCAGGCTTTCACAGATGTAGGGTCTATACCACCTCAACCACACCATGGTTGGGCTGTCAGAAAATTTATGATTATGACACCTCTAGAATGGCTCTCTCGGACTTAAATTTGAATATGATTTTTTTTTCTCTCCATTTGTTTTAATTTAGAAAAAAAAGGGGGTGGGGGCTTCCCTCTTATCCGCCACTGATCTGATTAATGAGCTTTCGTAACATTTAATTTGATTTGGCTGCACATTGTGATACACATTTGCAATAACTTCCATAAGACAACTGATAATAAAGCAGTAAAAACATGCAAATATTACGAATTTGCGGCATATGCGTTAATTTCCGGGAGATTCTTGCTTGCTTGCAGGAGGCTGTCCCGATTTCTGAGACGATCCCGCAAGTTTCGGGGGACTTGGGACCCCTGGTCAACCACAGTTCAGCTAATGCAATCAACAAGTTCTGGCGAAGGCAAATTCCTAAAAGGGAAAATTTACCACTATAAACCTCCCCTTTCCAAGGACTAAATAAAAATGTAATACATTGTATGATACTTTAATGTAAATGGGTTTACACCTACTAGACACTAACACAACAATCAAAACAAAAACGCTGTTTACTACACTAATAATAGCTTCCTTTGTGGCAACAGACAGTAGTAGTACATAATATACATCTTCACTTCACTTTACTGTTTTCTAGCAGATTTCTGGTTTAATACACATATTGTATTTGGATAATACAGTCTGTATGCCCTTTTTCTATACAAATGTTCACACTGTGATATTAATATTAAAAAATAAATTGTCATACCACCACAGGGATAATGAATAGATGTAAAACCAGGTTACTAGGTTATCTAGAATTTCAAGCATAATATTGGTCAAAGTGTTTTCTTAAAATACTGATATCGCTATTTTTACAAATTTAATCAAGTCATTTTAGTAGTGTTCAGGGCCTGGGGATAAGTCTGTACTTGATTTGTCCTCATGGCAATTGAAAGGTGAAAATGTATACTTCCACTGCTGGCAGGTAAACATAAAAGTTGCAATTGGATACAAGCCAAGAGTTGTTCACTTTCTACTTATAGAAGCTACATATTATCTAGGCCATTCCTACAACATATTTCAGGGCCATAGATATTAAGTGATCTAAGCAGGTATTATTAAATCATTCCAGGGTCCTGAATGTGCTGCAACATTTAAGTGGTCTTATAATGTATTATTATTAATCACTTCCTTTCCTCGAACATAATGGGAATGTGGTGGCAAGTCCATACATCCGAAGAAAATCATTACGATTCTTCTAGATAAGTGCATACATTTGCCTTAATGTAAAGGAGACCAATCGGGGGGCGGATTTAAGTAGGGGGAACATTTAGGTAAGTGCACGGGGGGATTTTTGTAAAATTTTTGTGAAAATACTACCATCTTTAACAGATTAAAAAAAAATGGCATACAAATATTACATGTTATAATATTTCTTAACAGCATATACTGAACACATCACACAATTATAGAAAACTTATTAATCTTTATTATATTACATCTAAGCCTATATGAAATCTTCCAGATTTAGCACTTGCTCAACAACTAATGGACAACCGGATGTTCATTCTTGCCTGCCTGTAGGTGTTTATCTTCACAAATTTTGATAGTATCTGTGCCAATTATATAGTTTATCACGTGGCTTTTCTTTTGGTCATTTTCAATCATGGCAATCTGAAATACACTTTTTTGCCTTGAAACAACTGCAAGAAGAAATCATTTTTAAAAGTATTAGAATTTTCACACAATATTTCTATTTTTTTATTATTTATTTTTTTTATTTATTTATTCCACACCAACAGCGATATATCGCCACTTACAGGAAGGATAAAATATGACAATATAAAAATATACATACAATTAACACATCCATACAGAAATAACATAAAATAAAAGAAATCTATTTTTAGGAGACAGAAGATTCGTTTGGCAATTCACTATGAAGCAGAAACAATGAAATAACAATGTTATTATTTTTACTGGTGGCTGATGACCTACATCCTCGTGAACGTACTTGGTCTTGTTAACACAGGGGTCCCAAGTCCTCCGGAACTCCCGGGACTCGGAAATCAGTATGGTCTCCCGCACTTCTGCAAACTAGCAAAATTCTCTCACAAATTCAATTATCTCTGGCATATTCAGTTAAAAACAAAGCTGTTTGTTTTATTTAGGCCGAAACTTTGGTCGCCGAATTATTTTTTGCAGTCTGACAGTGCCATTTCCGGGCTCCTAAAAAATGTCATCACCTCAGCCCCAATCATGGTGGGCCTGAGGTGGGCGTGGCCCTTCGTTTGGTACCTACTCTCATTCCTCACAGAATATATAGTGCCCCCAATGTCATTAAACGAATCTCCCGGAAATGGGTTCTTCCAACCCGAGACCCATGTTAACATTAATGTTAATAACAACATTTTTCTTGGTCTATTTTACATCCCCAGCCATTTTCTACCCTAAAATCAAGTGCACCTGAGCCAAGAGGCAGAACATTAGAACTCCAAGAGCAGAGGACCTATGTATGTTTGGGGTTTTATACATTGTGAATATCAGTGTACAACTTACTGTATAGCCCTTATAACATCATACATGAGACAGTGAGCATCCTCCCAGCCAGGTTACCCCTTAGAATGAGTATATGGCAGTAAGGGTAGGTCCCCTAACAGGGTACATTCAGTGGTGTATCTAGAAGTCTTAAAGTGGGGATGCTGATGGGGGGGG